GTTCTGGGCACAATTGTAACTATTGTTTTAATTTCAACATTCATGTTTTCTCTGTTGTAGTTTGTGTATTTGCTGTTTGGAGAGGCTGCTCCTCGCGCCTCTAAGGGGATCTTCTTGTATCTATTCATTATTTTAATAGAATTGATGCTATTTATCCAAAAAAAAAACATGATGCTTGTTCCCCAGAATCAATTTGAGGGGAAGAGTAGAGAAGGGGTAATTTTGTCTTTGTACTATATTGTATAATATTAGTGTAGTATGTAAACTAGACATCTTTGTATCTTATTGTATGTTACTTTCTTGTGTAAGGGCAGTCTTGTACTTTTACTTCGTTTAATATGAAGTTATGTTTTCTGGTTGGGTCGACTGTTGAGACCAACCGAACAGACTTGGAATTCTCTGTATTTTCTCTCGTCTCTCTCACTTTCTAGGTTAACAACTTAACATTCCCTGGCAGACTTCTTTGTATCTCCTGTCACATCCTAATTTTCCCCTTCCTCCAGTGGTTATCATGGCAATTGAGCTGATTCCAAGTAATTAGTTCCATCAAACTTAACAATGGTGATCTGAAAGGAATGGTTTGACGCACTTCCATCCACCATAACTCCTTCCCCATGTAATTTAGATTCATTACTAGCCATATCCATAATGAGCACAAGGCTGAAAAAGTCTATACAGCAACCTAAGACCATTAACAGTCCTCTAAAACTCCTAGAGATCCCAATGAAAAACAGAATAATGGGCTTAATACCAAGAACTGATCTGTTTCCAGAGAAAACCCCTAAAACCAGCCCTAGAGATTTTACCAACCACTCCCTCCAAAAGTGTCTAGAAAACTTCTGCTAGCTGTCAATCTCGAGAAGGATGTAAAATCTACCCAGAAAAAACAAAGCAACACCTCCTATAATTAGGTGGGACCATGTCTCGTGTTACACTTTTCTATATGAGAGAAAAGTTTTTGAAATCCCAACATTGCAGGGGAACTAAACTTCCAACCCCATGTGAGACTACATAAGCATGTCTGTCCACCTATTTGAAGGCAGATCATTTTTATGATACTTTTATTGTTGTTTTATATTGATAAAAATAAGATATGGTAGTAGTTCAGTTTTTATCAGGTCACACCTGATACACCCAACTAATAGGTGTGGGTTCTGGAGCCACTAGTCGTAAGTCATATTGAGCCTGGGTCAACACCAGGTCTTTGCAACCTTTTATCAGTTTGGAATTGAATCTGCATTTTAGACCTGACCTATTGATGGCTTACCAATTACATCGAAATTGATCTTAAAATGAACTTAAAAATAAATTATAAGCGAACCACCATGCACAATAAGAAATTTAATTGAAACAATGATAAATAATGCTTCTAACTGTACTGACTACTCAATGTTGCATGACCAGGACATGGTGCTTTTGCACCATGAAGTGGAAATTGATTTCCCAGATGGACGACCTACAGAGAATCACCGGGCCACTCTCTTGGAATTTGGAAGGATAAATAATGGGAGAATGGCCACTGCCATGGCTCTCACTGTTGGGATCCCAGCAGCCATAGGAGCTCTGGTATTTTACACATTAATTATTATAATATTTTTCCATAACATGACCTGAACCAATCATTTGGATCACCATTTTGTTATTTTGAATGTTTCAGCTCTTACTTGAAAACAAGATCATGACAAGAGGTGTTATAAGGCCTTTGGAACCAGAAGTCTATGTGCCAGGTAAGGGTGACTTGCTTAGTTTTAGTATTAAAGTTTTAATGTTTTTTTCTAACAAGGATCATATTTTTATTTCAATTGTTAACCGTATCGAAATTGTATTGATTATGAAGAAAATTCTGTACACAGTACATTATATTGCCCTTCCCTGAGATAGATTTGTTCAACTAGCCTCTTGTTTTGCCATGTAATCTGCAAAATTGTTTGCAGATCTTTGATCCGAAGAAAAGGTTTTCTCCATTTGCCTGGATCAATGCTGAATTTCCTTCATCTCATTTGTATAAGCCATGCTGATTGCCTGTGGCCACATAGCCAGCTCATTATTGTCCTTGAGTTACCTTCTATAATTAGGTTCCTGTAACCAGCTGCTTGCTTAGCTTAACAACTTGTAGTACTGCAAGCAATTCTACTTTAATAGTCACCCACTGCAAGTATTACACCATTTTTTGGTAATAAATAAAGAAGAAATTCATTAATAATGGAAAAAGGTACATGAAGAGAGGTGATGGCTGATGAGAGATCACCCAACAGAAAAAATAAGAAAAGGAAAAAAGATATAAAGAAGACAGAAAATTTTGTGAATATTACACCATTGCTGTCGCTGAATTCTCCCCCAGTCCCCCTATACCCAAGATACCTAGGTTTCACAAACTGCATTGATCAAAATTTAATTTTATTCTTTTGAAGGGTGGAGGTGTCCATTAATGAACAAGATAAAATATTTGTAGCCACCCATAGAAGGTAAGTGATATGGCCCCCACACATCAGAGTGCACAATATGAAAAGGAGAAGATCTTTTATTACTCAAAGGATAACTACTTCTACAATGTTTTGACAATTCACACGACTCACAATGAAGACTGGACAGACTAATTCCCTTAAACAATTTTGGAAATAAATGACTTAATGTAGAAAAAGAAAGATGACCCAAATGAAAATGACATAACATGACTCGACTGATGGACTCTGTAGATGTAGACCCAAAAGTAGTTTTTCCAGGTTGTTCATGGCTCTGTCCAGGAATGTCCAGCAGATATATTCATTCGCCTCATGGCCACTCCCAATCACTTTTTGAGACTCCAGATCTTGAAAAATACAGTAAGAAGGAAAGAAGGTTGCACAGCAGTTCAATGACTTAGTTAGGCTACTTACAGATAACAAATTTGTATTTAGCTTGGGTACATGAAGAGCAGAAGGAAGTACCAAGGAATCTGTAGCCTTGATGGTTCCCTTGCCAGAGATAGGGGCAAGAGAGCCAACGGCTAGGGTGATTTTGTCACGGCCAAGAAGTAAATCATAAGAAACAAACAAAGGGGAAAGGTTGGTCATATGATCAGAAGCACCAAAATCAATAATCCAAGGGATCCTATGATTACCTAAAATAGTTGCATGATTGGCAGAAGCCCGTATACCTGAATGAGCAAATGCAGAAGAGGTTGAATTTCTTGGAGGGTTGGAAGAAGAGGCCACACCCTCTAGGTGATTGATCATCCTCCCAAATTTCTCATATTCTGCCTTCATAGCTACTAACTGCTCACTAGTAGTCATCTCTTCAGTTTGGTATCTGTCACTATCTGGACCAGCAGCAATATTGGCACTCCCTGCCTTCATATTATCAGACTTCTTTTGAAACCGAAGAGGAAGAAGCTCGGGATGCAATTTCCAACACTCGTCTTTAGTGTGTTTTGGCTTCTTACAGTACTCACAAATAATTTCTTTCTTCCCTGAGCTACTTGGAATCCCTACAACTCCCTTGGGTTTCACTCCCATATTAGCAAAGTGATCATTTAGACCAGCCCCTTGGACTTGGACAAGTCTCCTGCTTTCTTCACTACTTTCCAAGGCATAGGCTTTAGACAGTGAAACACTATCTTTGGATAAAATATTTTGCTTTGTGATGTCATACTCTGGATGCAGCCCTGTCAAAAACTCAAACACCCTGTTTCTCTCAACAAGTTTCCTGCAAGGTTTAAAATGTTGATGTTGATGGAAATGTCGCTTACCAAAATATAGGACATATGTCGGAAATGTCGGAAATGTCGAGAGGAAATATTGTAAAAATTAGAGACATTGTGGAAATATTATGAAATATGTGGAAATATGCAATGATACTTTGCAAAATGATAAAAGAAGCATTAATACATATTTCTAGATTATTATCTTATTCTCAACCATTATATAAAGCTAAGAAACTAAGACCAATAACAAATTAGTAAATGACGATTTACTGATTTATTATGCATTTTGATTTTTTTACAAGGTTATCTGATATTTTCTTTTCTTATTTTTAATTCCTAGGCTTTTTTGATGGTTCACTCTGCTTCGGGCTAGCTTTCGAGTTGAAACTCCACTCCTCGGCTTAAGAGATAAGGATAATCCCTTATCTTATCTGCAGGCAAAGATCTGCCTTCCTAATCAAATTAGGAGTTTCCTGATCCAAATCTTTATTTGGATCTGGACTCTTTGAGTGGATAGGGATAATCCCTTATCCTATCAGTTGATCCAAATCGCAGAACCGCCCCTTATTTAATTAATCTTATTAAGCCAGTTCGAATGGGCTTTAGGCCCATTAAGTCTATGTGCTCACTAGCCCTCTTAACCTGCTGCCCA